CTTTGCCCATTTAAAAAATTGGTTTATTTGCATTTACGTTGAGTTATGAGTCCTTTATTCTGGATATGAGACCTTTACCAGATAAATAATTTGCAAGTGTATTTTCCTATTCTGTATGCCACTTTTTTATTTTCTTGATAGTGTCTTTTGATGCACAAAATGTTTTCATTTTGGTAAAGCAATTTTATTTTTTCTTTTGTCGCTCACATCTAAGAATCCATTGTCAAATCCAGCGTAATGAGGACTTACCTCTTTTTATCTTCTAAGAGTTTTATGGTTTTAGATTTTGTATTTAAGTCATTGAACCATTTTGAATTATTTTTTGTATATGTTCTAGAAGCCCAACTTCATTGTTTTGCATATGGATCCAGTTGTCCCAGCACTACATCTGTCCTTATGCCAGCATTACACCACTTTTATTACTGCAGTTCTGTAGTTTGAAATCAGAAAGTATGAGTCCTTCAATTTTGCTCTTATATTTTCAAGATCGTTTTGGCTATTCAGGACCCGTTGCAATTCCATATGAAGCTGAAGATCTGCTTTTTCATTTCTGTAGATAAGATTTTTGGAATTTTGATAGAAATTTTACTGGACCTATACACCACTTGGGAGAGGATTTCCATCTTATCAAAATTATTAAGTCTTCCAATCCGTGAACTGAATGTTTTTTCATCTACTTAGGTCTTGCATAATTTCTTACAGCTATGTTTTGTAGTTTCCATGTGCAAGTTTTTCACCTCCTTGAGTAAATTTACTCCTAGACATGTTATTTTTTTATACTATTGTGAATTATGAAATTGTTTTCTTAATTTGCTTTTCAGATTGTTCATTGCTGGTGTGTAATAACACAACTGGTATTTGTATGTTGACCTTATATCTGCAACTTTGCTGAATTCATTTCTTTGGTATTAAAAAAAATGTTTTGGGATGTTCTGTACGTAGGATCATGTCATCTTCATCTGTGAACAGAGATAACTTAACTCTTTCCTTTCCAATTTGGATGTTTCTTATTTCTTTTTTCTTGACTGATTGCTCTAGTTAGAACTTCCAATAGTGTTAAAAAACCACTGGTGAAAGTGGGCATCCATGTCTTATTTCTAGTCGTAGGGGGAAAGCTTAAAGTCCTTTGCCATCGAGTGTGATGTTCACAGGGAGTTTTTCATAAGTGCCCTTTATCACATTGAAGATCTTCCATTCCTTGTTTTTTGAGTATTTTTTTTAATCATGAAAGGATGTTGGATTTTGTTAGAAGCTTTCAGTCCACCAATTGAGATGATCATGTGCTTTTGCCCCCTCTGTTCTATTAATGTGTTGTATTTCATTGAATGGTTTTGTATGTTTTAACCACCCTTAAATTCTGGTGATAAATCCCACTTGGTCATGGTGTACAGTCCTTTGAATACATTGCTGGATCTGGTTTATTAGTATTTTGTGGAAAATTTTTGCATCTATATTCGTAAGGGATATTGATCTGCAGCTTTCTTTTCTTGTGGTGTCCTTGTCTGGCTTTGGTACGAGGGTGGTATTGGCCTCCTATCGTGAGTTAGGACATGTTCTCCTATTACCTGGAAAAATTTGAAAAGGATCGGTGTTAATTCTTTAAAGTCTGGTAGAATTCACCAGTGAAGCCATCTAATCAAGAACTTTTCTTGCTGGGAGGTGTTTGATTGGTGACTCACTCTCTTTGTTGTAGGTCTATTCAGACTTTCTATTACTTCTTGGGTCAATTTTGGTAATTTGTTTCTAGGACTTTGTTCGTTTCCCTTGTTAATCCAGTTTGTTGGAGTACAGTTGCTCATAGCATTCTCGTTCTTTTAAAAACCACGCTATTGAGGCATGATTGACAGACAAAAAGCTGTACATATTTAATGTATACAACTTGCTGAGTTTGAAATAAGTATACGTTCATGAACCCATCACCAAAAGCAAGGCCACATAAACTTATCAGCTCCAAAAGATTCCTTCCATCCTCTTTGCTTATTATATTAAAATTTTTTTCTTTTGTGGTAAGAGTACTTACGGTCTACCCTCTTAGCTACATTTTAATTCTATAATCCTATATTGTTAATTATAGGCTCTATGTTTTACAGTAGATCTCCAGAACTTACTTATTGTGTGTAATCAAAACTTTGTACCATTTGACAGACATCTATTTCTTCCTCCTACCAGCCCTGGTAATCATTTTGCTCAATGAGTCTGACTATTTGAGACTCCTTATAAATGTGGGCTCCTGTGGCATCTGTCCTGTGTCCAGCTCATTTCTCTTAGCATCATGCCCCCATGGTCCATCCACATTGTCATGATTGGCAGGATTTCCTCCTTTTTTAAGGTTGAATAATATTCCAGTGTGTATGTAAATATACATTTATACACATTGTCTGTATAAGGATCACATTTTCTTTATCCATTCGGGTTGTTTCCATATCTTAGATACCGTGAATAATGCTGCAGTACACATGGGAGTACATATACCTCTTTGAGATCCTGGCTTCAATTCATTTGGATATATACTGAGAAGTAGGACTTCTGGGTCAAATGGTAATTCTATTTTTAATTCTTTGAGGAACCTCTCTTTATTATTCTCCACAGTGACTACACCAGTTTACATTCCCACCAATAGTGTACAGGAGTTCCCTTTTCTCTACACTCTAGCCAACACTTAACTTTTTTTTTTTTTGATAATAGCCATTCTAACAGGTATGAAGTGATATTTCGTTGTGGTTTTGATTTACATTTTCCCGACGACTTATGATATTGAGTGCATTTTCATATACCTGTTGGCCATTTGGATGTCTTCTTTGGTTAAATGTCTGTTCAAGTCCTTTACCTGTTTTTGTTTTTGTTTGTTTCCCGCTATTGAGTTGTACGACTTCTTTATGTATTTTGGATATCCACCCCTTTATCAGATGGATGGTTTGCAGCTATTTTCTCCCATTCCATAGGCTGCTTTTTCATTTTGTTGACTGTTTCCTTTGCTGTGAAAACAGTTTTCGGTTTGATGTAGTCCCACTTCCTGTTGTTTCTTTTGTTACCTGTGTTTTTGGTGTCGTATCTAAGAAATTATTGCCAACTCCAATGTCTTTATCTATGTTTTCTTCTAAGAATGTTATTGTTTCAGCTTTTATGTTTAAGTCTTTAATCCAAATTACGTTCAGTCTTTAAACTCTTTTGAGTTTATTTTTATAGCTGGTATGTGATAAGGACCTGGTATCATTCTTTCGCATGTGGATATCCAATTTTCCCATCACCACTTACCGAAGAGACTGTCTTTTCCCCATTGTGTATTCTTGGCACCCTTGTTGGAAATCAGTTGACCATAAATATGGGGGTTTATTTCTGGGCTCCCTATTCAGTTCAGGGAGTGTGATACCTCCAGTTTTGCTCTTCTTGCTCAAATTGCTTTGGTTATTTGTGGCCTTTTTTGGTTTCAAATGAATTTTAGGCTTTTTCCTATTTCTGTAAAAAAATGCCATTAGGACTTTGATGGGGATTGCATTGACTCTAGATTACTTTGGGTCATATGGACATTTTAACAAAATTATTCCAGTCCATGAACATGTGATGTTCTTTCACTTATTTGTAGCTTTAATTTCTTTCATAAATGTTTTATAGTTTTAAATATACCAGTCTTTCATCTCCTTGGCTAAGTTTATTCGGAGATATTTTATTATTTTTGATACTATTATAAATTGATTTGTTTTCTGGTTCTGATATCAGTACTATGCCCACATCATAAAGGTAGGTCACTTTCTGTTCTTTCTGTTCTCTGGAATCGTTTATTACTTGGAATGATCTGCTGTTCTGTATTTTGCAGAACTTCCTGGTAGCAAAGTCTGCCCATTGCTCTCAATACCATTATATCCTTTAATTGTAGATATGTGTGTGTGTGTGTGTCCACACAAACGTATGCTTCAAAAGCCACAGACACACATAGAGGGGGCCTGTTGGGAGGGAAAGCCTTGCCCAGCTGCAAGGACCATGAGAACCTCTGGCTTCTGCACACCTTCTAACCTGGCCCCCGTTGCAAGGCCACCCACTGCAGAACCCTGGGGAGGGTCACAGACCTCTACCTTCTGGGATGCAGGTTCAGAGACAAACATCTGAGGGACGCAGGGAGTGAGTGAGGGGCCTTGGGCGCCAGCGGCAAAACAGGCTGTGAGATTACATGCGGTGATGGGTGAGCCACGGTGCCCAGGGAGAGGTGAGACTCAGTAGAGACCATCTGCACCCCCTCAAGGCAGGCTGGGCAGAGGGATTGGGGCAGGGAGAGAGGGGGCTGTCGGGGGGGCCAGCACTGTTGCCTCAGGATGTGGCAGGGCGTAGTGGCTGTACCTGCACACCAGTGACCTCCAGTGGCAAAGGGACAGTGCAAGCCCTGCCCGCCCCCAGCCCTCCCACCCTGTGCCTAGATCTCTCAGGGAGTGGCTGCAGAGGGGGTGGAGGCTTGTCCCTCAGTTCCTGTGGAGGGAGGCAGCAGGGGCTGCCTCTGGCAGGCTCTCTCCCAGTGGGAGATGGCTCCCGTCCTGCGGTCGCTCAGCTGAGGTGCCCTGTCCTCATGGCCCCTTGTCAAGCGTGGCACTGGCCCCGAGGGCCTTGCGCAGGCCTGTGGAATCCTGCCTTCCCAGATGGCTCTGCTACAGCCAGACTCTCTGGTGTTCTGTCCTGAATGGGATGCTTGGGCCTGAAGAAAAATCACACCCAGTGCCTTCCCCTGCTCGTGAAGGGGGCTGGGGTCCTGTGGCTGAGGTATCAGGTCCGTCCTGGGCCCTGGAGTCTCTCTTAGTTGCAGGATCAGTCAGGTTCGTGTGCATAGTGAGGGCCCAGGTGGGTAGGCCTGGGACAGGCTGTAGATCGTGCCAGGCTGTAGACCTCTTTCGTGTGGAAGGCAGGAAGGCTAGAGGCTGACCCCTCTTCTTTGGGTTGAATTTCCAAAGGGCAAGACTCATCAGTAAGTGTCTTTACTGGACGAGAGATCCAGTGTCCTTGGTTCTGCCGGTGCCCTAGGTCCTGGGGATTCCGATGTCGAGCTACAGCTGGTTGGCTCTGACCTCACAGTGGCCCTGGATCAGGCCCTGGGTTTGGCTGGCATGCCAGCGCCAGTGAGACTGGATGACGCAGGCCACTTGGAGTGCCTGGAGGAACCATCTGTGGGCCTGCCACATTTGGACCTGGGCCTGCACCTTCACCACTGCCCACTCCTTGCAGGTGTAGAGTCTGAGCGCCAGGTGCCACCTCTGCTCCAGCATCTTGGCCTGCACCGGCCTCCATCAGTGCTGGATGGCCCAGGCCCTGAGTGCTGTGTGCAGGAGCATCTGCCGCACCGTGCTGCCGTGCCACCATGCCTGAATTTTCACAGCCGCCTTCTCCAACTGATGGGGAAGGAAGAGAACAGACATGCTCAGTGGGGCGCCCTGCTGTTCTTATCCCCACCTCTGGGGCTGAGAGGAGAGGGGGTCTGGCCCAGGCAGTGCTGCCCTCGTTCCTAGGCCCCGTCACCTGCAGACACTGCTCATTCTCCACTGGGCAGGTCCTTCCCGCACCGGCCTCGCTCATGTTTTGTGTGCCCATGGTCTTTAGAGTCCTTCCTCCATTAGGTCAGCCCCCCTGTCTTCAGCCCCATCCTCAACTGTTAGTCACCCCCACCGTGAGACTCCACCCGCCTCATGTGCTCTGCCCAGCTGTGTCTCTGCCACACGTCTCTCTCTTTCTCCTTATGGACTATGCAGTCACTCTTGGGACTGATTCCCATCTTTGGGGGCCTGCTTTCAGTTTATTGCTCGGACCCAAGTGGGATCACAAGTCCTGCTCTGCCTACAGCTTCCAGTCTCTCATTTCTGTTCCTGCTGGTGCCAGTGAAGAGAGAGAGCCACACAGCTTTCCTGCAAATAAGGGGCTTTACTTTCGGGATGCTCAGAGCCAGTGGGGATTCTGGAACTTAAGTGGCAGAGCCCATGGGAGGGGAGTGTGTTCATGGGCTGGTGCAATATAAAATTTGTGAAAGCAAGATACTTAGCTGCATTTGGAGCAAGTCTGTCTCCCCTCTCCAACTCCCTGCTCCTGTGGCCTGGTGTGGAATGGCTGCAGCCTCTTTGGGGACGTGGCTGTGGGGAAGCTGAGTTGGGATATCCTTAGTTTGGGTTACATGGGATAGATTTGTGTCGTTCACAGCTGGCCCTGGGGACAGATACAGTCTCGCGAGGAGTTCTGCTGGAGTCGGCTCCTAAGCTGCAGCCATCCCCCTGGCTGGCAGTGTGAAGATGGGGACGAACCGCTGCTGTGCGGATGGAGCACGTCCTGCAGTGCCTGGACCAGGACATGTGGGAGAAGAAAAGCCAGATTTGAAACATATGGAGGCAAAAGTTGGCCTGTAGAAAATTCCTCCTGTTGTCAGACATGTAAAACCTACAAGCAGAGGATTCTGTTCCCACTGATGCCTAATTAAAGTTCTGTCTGGTCAGGAATATACTTGATAATGCAGGGAAACAGTTAGAAACATACCATACTGTCCTCTTTTTTGGTGTGAATCCTGTGAAATAACATCTGTCAGAATTTCTGTGATTGCAGGACACCGACTAGGAAAAGTACTACCAACTGTGTGTGAGCCAGCGTGGGAAATCATGTTTGTGCACCCCAGTGTCCACAATAATCGGGTTTCTATAGGAAGTGATACTGCAAAATCATCACATGAAATATTCAAAGGTTATGCAGCAAAAAATGTGTGGAAATTAGAGGTGGGACAGTTAACTACGATATATTCTATTTTGGTATTTGCTAATTTTTAAAGGTTTGTAATTTGTTGTGATTTCTTTACTCATCCTAAATAGTCACTTGCCTGATTTCAAGTCTTTATTTTTGCAATCTTTTTTTTAAAGTAGGCCATAATAGTAGGCAAGTTTAGAAGCTTCAGGACCCACGAGACCCAGGCCTGCCCTGCCGTGCTGTACAGCCAGGTCCCCCAGGGACTCGGGGTTAGGCGCCACAGACACAGGATGCAGAGGTGCCAGGAGGCCTTTGGGACTTGGAAGGCCATTCTGGCTTTGGCTTTAGTGAGCATGTTATTGTTCATTTATCTGTAGAGTGTTTGCTGGGTGCCCACTGCCTGAAGGGCCATGCACTGTGTGTTCACGCACACCCGAGGCCTCGCACCATCTCTCATACTGATTGCCAAGACACTGTCCACTGGGGTGTCTTACCATCGCCTATCATAGTTTCTGGCCCTATCGTCAACCAGAAAACTACTTTGTATCATGGTGAAAGCCCTCAAGAGTGGACACTTTGCGTCCTTAATGACTGTCAGCCTGGGCAAGCAGAGCGCGGCTATCCATCATCTCACATGCCTCTGCCACTGCATTAAACCACTGGTCCTGGCGTCAGGCACCCACTCCCAGCCCAGTCTGCTGCACTCTGCAGAGGGGGTGCCTTAGGGGAGCTGTGGGTGTGGCCAGAGCTCTGAGGCTCAGTCCATCCCGGCCAGGCCTCATGGTCAAGACATCAGCTCCCACTGTTCCTACCCTTCTGGTCTGGCTCGTCGCCAGGATATCCTGGCTTTGTCCCCTTCTTAGAAGTCCCTGGGTAAACCTGCTGGCCCCTTTTGTGTTCACGAGTTTGCAGTTATTCACCAGGCATGGCAGATGGGGTGAAGGGGTAAGATGTACTCCCTGAATGCTACTAAATTTTCACAGATCGTGATCCTTGGTCTCTATTCCCTCACTGCTCAGCTCCTCAGCTTCTGGTTCTCTTCTTCTGCTTGATTTTTTTTTCTGATTATAAATATAGTACATTTATTGCTAAAATTTTAAATAATGCAGGAACATATAAGGTGGAAAGTGAATTTTCCCACAAAATTTTCCCCCCTGAGTTATTCCTCCAGACCCTTATACCATGCCCGGACTGACTTAACTTTCCTATTAAAAATAGTTTATTTTTAATTAACACATTTCAAACTAAAATTTCCCTTGGCAATTAATGTTTCCTTCCTTATGTTATTATTACTCCCAGCTTAGAGGGTATTCTGGACAATTAGCTATGCATTTAAAGGCACAGTACATCCATGTCCCTAAAGATACATAAAACCATTTTGTATGTTTCTATGTGTCTTTTTAAGGGAAAAATCATATAACAGAAAATTTAATATTTTAGCTATTTTAAAGTGTATAGTTCAATGGTTTTTAGCATATTTACAATGTCATATAACCATCACCACTATCTAATTCTTGTTTCTCATTTCATCTAATTTTAATTCTAATTTTGTCTCCCGCAAAAGAAACCCTGTACCCGTTAAGTGGTCACTTACCAATACCCTTCCTTCATGCCGCTCCCTGGCAACCACTAATCTGCTTCTAGTCTCTATGGATTTGCCTATTCTGAATATTTCATATAAATGAAGTTATATTATATATGGCCTTTTGTGTCTGCTTTCACTTAGCATGTTTTTACAGTTCATCTGTGTTGTAGCATGTAGCAATACTTCATTCCTTTTTATGGCTAAATAATATTCTATCATGTGGCTATATTGCATTGGATGTAAGTTGACAAATGCTTGAGATATCCTTACTCGTTGGTGATTGTTAAGGATACTGCTGTGAGCATTCGTGTGCAAGTATTTGTTTGAACATCTGTTTCCAATTCTCTTGGGCACACGCCTAGGAGTGGAATTGCTGGGTCGTGTGGTAATTCTGTGTTAACTCTTTGAGGAACCACCAAATTGTTTTCCACAGTAGCCAAACCATTTTACATTCCCACCAGTCTCCACATCCTTGCCAACGTTATTTTCCATTCTCTGTGTTTTAGCCATTCTAGTGACTGATATCTCCTTGAATTATGACTTGCATTTCTCTAAGACTAATGATGTCGAGCATCTCTTTCATGTCATGTGCTTTTTAGGCATCTGCATATCTTTCTTTGCAAAAATGTCTTTTCGAGTTCATTGCCCACTTGTTAATTGTCTTGTCTTTTTTTGTTGAGTTGTAAGCATTCTTTATACATTCTGGACACTACATCCTTATCTTATACATGATTTGACAATACTTCCTCCCATTCTGTAGGTCATCTTTTCACTTTCTTGATAACATTCTTTGATGCACAAGATTTTTTAATTTTGATGAAGTCCTATTTACCTACTTTTCTTTTGGAACTTGTGTCTTGGTGTCATAGCTAAGCATCCACTGACAGATCCAAGATCCTGAAGATTTACCCATTTTCTTCTGAGAGTTTTATAGTTTTCTCTCTTAAATTTAGGATTTCAGTCAATTACGGGTTGATATTTATACGTATTGTGAGGCAAGAGTCCAGCTTCATTCCTTTGCATTGGGGTTATTCTCTTGTCACAGCACCATTTGTTGAAGAGATCATTCTTTTTTCATCTTGATTCTCTCATTGAAAATCAATTTGAACATAGATCTAAAGGTTTATTTCTGATCTTTCAATTCCAACCCATTGATCTGTATATATCTGTCCTTATGCGAAGACCACACTGTCTTGATTACTATAGCTTTGTAGTAGGTTTTGAAATCAAGAAGGTGAGTCCTCCAACTTTATCTTTTTAAGATTGTTTTGACTAGTCTGTATCCTGGCAATTCCATATGAGCTTTAAGATTAGCTTTCCATTTCTGCAAAAAAGGACAGTGGAAATTTCAGTAAGGATTGCATTGAATCTACAGTTCAATATAGGGAGTATTCAGTCTTCAAACCATGAACACAGAATATCTTTCCATTTATTTAGCTCTTCTTTGATTTTTCAACAATGTTTTATAGTTTTAACAGGTGTACAAGTCAGGCACCTGCTTGGTTAAATTTATTCCTAAGCATTTTTATTCTCTTTGATGCGACTATCAATATAATGATTTCCTTAATTTCATTTTTAATTTTCCATTGCTTGTGTATAAAAATACAAATGATTTTGCATGTTTATCTTGTATATTGCAACTTTGCAGAATTATTTTAATAGCTCTACTGATTTTTTGGTAGATTCTTTAGGAGCTTCTCTAGGAAAGGTCATGTCTTCTGCAAATAGAGGTAGTTTTACTTCTTCCTGTCCAATCTGGATGCATTTTAATTCTCTTTCTGCTTAATAGCCTTGACTAAAACTTCCATTACAATGCTGAGTAGCAGTGATGAAAGCAGCTGTATTTGTCTTATTCCTTATGGTGGAGAAAAAAAATCTTTTAGTCTTTTACCATTAAGTATGATGTCAGGTGTGGCCTTCTTCATAGAATAGAAGTTCCTGTTAGGCTGGAGAAAGGAAAAACAAGGACATGCAAACAGAACAGAGAGCTGCCATAGGGGGAGAACAGCGCAGACCCCAAAGTCCGTGCCGTATATGGAAAGGGGACAGCTCTCCCTGAATTCCATCCTGATGTGCCAACAGGGACCCGGATGTCAGCCTCCTCCCTCTTGGAAGGAAGAAAGTTTCTAGTTGTCTATTATGTCACCTTTAGCCAATCATACCTCTCCACGCCCCCTAGGATAGTTTCCCCACTCCGCCCCCTCCTAATCCCTTATAAACGCCCCACCTCCCTAACCGGGTGCTTTGTTTGCCCCTCTTTGCCTGCTTATTCCGGCTAGAATTT